TATGCTAAGTCTTTAAATTAGAGGTCATTATGTAGCAAATGTGTCTTTTAGGTAAATATGTATGTTCCCACACATATTTTTATATATATATATATATATAAATATATGTATGTTCCCACACATATTTATATATATATATATATATATATGATATAAAATTGAAATACAAGATTATAATAACATACTGATTAATATAAAAATAAATTTGACACATATAGGTGTACTTATAGAATCAAATTGCAAATTTAATAACTTCCAATGCCTTGGAAGTTTAGTGCTTTAACCCTAGGAAAATGAGATGGGAGAATTTTCCCCCCATACACACAAGGACCCCCAGAGGTGTTCTTCTATGGTGTTAAATTCATTCCCATTCTAAATCACTTTGAAGAGAAATCAGTCTGAATAAACTTCAGAGGATCATATATCTAGAAATGAAAGAAAGCCTTAGAAGCCATAACCCAATTCCATAATTTTATATTTGAGGAAACTCGAATCCTAAGAATGTTAAGAGACTTGCCCAAGGTTACAAGTGTCAGAAGTGGGATTTGAACCAAGGTTCTCTGAGTCCACATGCCATGGTCTTTAATACTATACCACACTTGCCTTTCTTCATTGTGTTTATTTGGAAAGAGTCTGAGTCATCTACTGGAGAAATAATCATATTTTTTCAGTTTTTATTTTAAAACAATTATTTGAATTTTCACTGACTATCCAGAACTGTGCTAGACACCACGAGAAGGACAAGGAAACCTGACCTTAAGCAGTTTATAGTCTCATGAGGGAGAAGGGGCTAATATGTGCAACTAATTAAAAAATGAACATGGCAGCCTATAATATTATTTCTTTGTTTTGTTTCAAGGGAAAAAAGAATTTTGAACCATATTAGGCCTTTTAACTCTAAGTAGATAATAAATTTAAATACAGTATTTTTCCCTTTAGTAGTATGTCTATAAATGAATGCAAGGCAACAGTGGATAGAGAATTGTCATTACTGAGTGACAGGCATATCAAGCGGTCCATTAGTAATTCATTGCTTAAAAATATATTCTCAGGGGGCAGCTAGGTAGTGCAGTGGATAAAGCACAGGCCCTGAAGTCAGGAGGATCTGAGTTCAAATCCGGCCTTAGACCAAACACTTGACACTTACTAGCTGTGTGACCCTGGGCAAGTCACTTAACCCCAACTGCCTTAAAAAAAGAAAAAAATATGCTCTCAGTCCATAATAATTAATTATGTAAAAATTCCTGAATAAAGTTGTTCTTTGATGAGGTCTGGGAAAAATATCTTCTAGCTGATTTAGAAACATCATTGATATAGATGACAACATATACACATATATGTATATATATGATACAAACATTTTATGTGTGCTTGTGTGTGTGAGAGAGACAGAGAGACAGAGTGAGAGAGAGAGAGAGAGAGAGAGGGATTGTAGAATACAGGGCTTAACCTCATCCTACCTATTAGATAGAAAATCCCTTAGGAAGGCAGGCTTTTGTTGTTGTTCAGTGATTTCAGTCATGTCTGAAGAGTCCTTCATGACCCCATTTGGGGTTTTCTTGACAAAGCTACTGGAACAGTTTGACATTTCTTTCTCCTGATCACTTTTTACAGATGAGGAAACTGAGGCAAATAGGGTTAAGTGACTTGCCCAGGATCACACAGCTAGTAAGTGTGTGAGACCAGATCTGAAGTCAGGAAGATAACTCTTCCAGACTGGTTTAGTGGAAAGAAAACTGGATCTAGAATCCAAGGACCTAAGTTAAAATACCACCTCTATTACTTACTACCTGTGTGACGTTGGGCAGCTTACTTAACCTTTCTCTGCTTCAGTTTTCCCGTCTATAAATGAGGAGGTTGGACTGGTTGACCTCAGAACTTTCCTATGCCCTCTAGTTAAAATCTTATGTTTTATTCCATCTTTGTGTTTGTAAACTGAAAGGTGGGACTAGATAATCTCTGAAATCCCTTTTGGTTCTAATCTAGGATCTTGTGACCCCTAGGGCTGAATATGATGCCCATGTGTTGCACAATATTGCATTGAATTATTCTATTCAATTCGATTCAACTCCTCAAAACCAAAATTTATCGAGAGCTTGTTTGCCCCCAACATAAGCCCTATGCTCAAGTCATTTTAGACTATTCCCTTCTGGAATTCTTTTTCTACATCTGGGCCTTTGCTGGACCCTATTCCCTCTGCCCTTCCCACTCCTCACCCTCCAGTATCTTCACCTGTCTAATTCATTTTTTTAAAGGCACAAATAGTTCTTTGTAACACCCCTGGCTCCTGCTACCATTCCAAAAAACAAAGGAGTCCAATCTGCAACGTAGGATGAAGCTGCCAACCCTGTATGTACTTGGAGAATTTATTTTGAACATATATAGTAAGCCAGCCTGCAGCAGTGGAAAAACTCCACTAAATTTGGAGTCAGATGATAAGAGTTTGAATCCCAGTACTACCAATGCCTCTCACTACCTATGTTGCCTTGGGTAATTCATTTAACTTTTGGGCTTCAGTTTCTTCACCCTATAAAATGGGGAGGTCGGGCTAAATGACTCTCAGAGGACCCATCCAATATTCTTACAACACTTTAGTTCTTCTTTTTAGGTACTCACCCATTCTACTCGTTTTAAGCTAATTCGTGTGGTTGTCCTATCACTCTTCCTAGACAAGGAAAGTTTCTGGAGGGCAGAGACTATGTTTTAATTACCTTTATAACCTCCGCAGAACCTTGTAAATAGTAGTTGCTCTATAAATGTTTGTTTATCAAGATGTCATCCTATTACAGGTATATTTGGCAATTTCTCCACTTGGGAAATGAATATTGTATTTTTTTTATCCTTAGCCAGAAAACTTGGAAGCTTATGATGAATTGTACTTTGAAGTTCTCATTTTGAAACAAGTTCAAAGCTTCAGTAAAACTAGAGTTGTCAAGAAGATGTGAATTTAGGTCAGATTGAGAAAAATGGAGACATTTCAGGTATCCTCAATGAGAATCACATCCCTTAAATTTAATTCTTCCTTAGTTTTCTTATCTATATTCCTAAGGATGTATGTGCTATTTCCCGGCAACTCCCAATTTTTTTTTTAATAAAACCCAATTTGTGTTTGCAAATCATAAGGCCATAGCAAGAAGGGACTTCAAGATTAATCTAGTCTAACTCTAGTGTTTTACAGGTCCCTAAGAGGTTAAATCATTTGCCTAAGGTCATATAAGTAGTTAGTGTCAGAATCTGGATTTGAACCCAGATTCTTTATTCCAGATTGAGCACACCAACCACATTGCCTAGAATTCTGTCTTAGAAAAAGGAGCTCAGAATTGATCCCTCATCATACTTGTATACAAAATCAGAAGATGGTGAGTGTTTCACAGTTTTCTGGACAAACCAGTACCCGTTCTGTATTTCCTGACATGGATATACTCAGCAGTTTTGAGTTGTTTTACCCATTGTGTTTCCTAACCTGATACAGCCCTTTCTTACTTCCTCTCTCTGCTGGGTTTGTGAGTCAGTGGTGGGTGAATTGTTTCTTGTTTACTGAATTTATCAAATGTTCTGCATTCCTTGGTCTGAAAGTGGGTGTATGACTTTTTATAGCACCCAAATAATATTTAACATTTTAAGTTAGGAAAGTAATCAGGGAGAATGCTAAGGGTTAACTTGTTCCTTTATTCTTAACTTTTTTTCCCCCTTCATCTCCTCTCAGGCAATCAGTTGCCTCATATTTTGCCCTCTAGTTGTATGCTCACTGTGGGTTCAATGTAGCTTTTTGTATGGTCAGAAACTTAAGATAATTTTGGCTGAATGACTAAATTATATTTTGTTCTCAGAGTGATTATGCAAGTTCTTAATCTGGGAGAGTTGTCTTGAGTTTTTAAAATTTATTAATTGAAATTGATGATATTTAATGAATAATGAATAATAATTTTCATGGTAATATTGAGAGACATTGTGAAAGAGTGTTTAGAGGGCTACCTTTAGAGGCAAGAAGACTTCATATCCTGGCCCTTATAGATATTTACTGTGTGATTATGGGTAAGTCATTTAACCAGCTAAGTGCTCCAGGCAATTCCCTAAAGCTATACGTTATAGATGAGTTCAATTCAATTCAATAAGCATTTATCAAATATCTGCAAAGTGCCAGGTGTTGTGCTAGGTTCTCAGCATAAAAAGACAAAAACAAAATAGTCTCTGCCCTCAAGAAGTTTACATTATATTGAAGTTCCGATTTGCATTGGTAGATGACATTTCCCTGCTAGGAGTTTCTCATGCAATCCCAGTTTTGGAATTTTAACAATGAAGTTGTCATATTATGCCATACACTTTATTTTTAAGGGGAAAACCATTTTAAATTTTAATATGAATCATAAAGTGAGCAAATCTGAATAGGCAAAATTAAATATGCTTTTGTAGATCTAAATTTGAAGACAGTACATGATATATTGATGAGTTATTTTCAATATAGAAACATATCATGATTTGAAATAAGGATACCTATACATAAATATATAATCAATACATATAGATATATCATATATTAAGATAATGATATAAACATTACTACCCTAAATGAGAGAGTCTGTAGTTTCGTGCTGCATCATTTGTCTACTATAATCAATTTTCACTTTAATAAGTTCATAGAATAATAGATTTTGAATTGGATGGGACCACAGAGGTCATATAATCCATCTTCTCATTTTACAGGTAAGGAAATTGAAGCCCAGAGAGGCTAGCTGATTCACCCAAAGTCACACATGTAATAAAGAGCAAACGGTAGAGCCAGGTTTAAAACACAGGCTCTCTGACTAGCAATTCAGCATTCTCTCCACCTGTACCATGTTGTTTTTAAGTCACAAGATCTGGCTAGCCAAGGATTAAGCTGCCAGTTTTTTGTTTTCACTGTAAGAATCACTGCTTGCTGGATCATAGAATTAAATGGAAGATTTGTCAGTTTCACACATCATGTCCTATTTTAACCTTTCTGTTTCTCTCTCCTCCAGTTAACTTCTCTCTCTACTACCTCTGATCAGCTCTCCTGTAAATCACCTGCTCTCTTTGTTTCACCAACTAATCTGAAAGCACAATCTGACACGGGTAGCCTGCACCAAGCCTCTCTCCTGGAAGAATTGCATACTAAGAGGGTGGATCCACGTGGGTCAACCATGCAAGAGACTTCGACATATTTTCAAGGGACCACTTACTCTTCCCCTTCTTTTGTATCAGAGGAAACAACCTCAGAGATAAAAAGCACTCAGATATTAGGTTCTAAACAGCTAAAAGATATCTCTAGCCCAACCTTGGCTAGCCAAAAGTCTGAATTAAAGTCAGAAACTTTAAGCAAGAGTTCAACTCCCCCCTCACATCTTATCAGTTCAAGTGGAAGTCAGAGCTTCACTGCTCAGGTCCCGCCCTCAACTACTCCCAAGTCTGATTCATCATCATATATACCTGTCCGTATCATCACACATTCATTATGCCCAAGTCCTAAACCATTGAATTCTACTTTCTATGGGTCCTCTTCAACTTTATGTAGCCAAACTTCATCTAGTGGAAATCTTGCAAAGTCAGGAGTTAAGTCCCCAATACCAACTCGACTTTCTCTTCTGACTGCTATTTTGAAGTCAAACCCTTCTCATGGGAGACCCTTTTCTCCTGCATCCTGTCCCACCTTTTCTTCCAACTCCTTAACTTCATCCACACTCACACTGGAGCAAAAGGTGAAGAGAACCCCACCTACTCCTAAGAAATCTTACTCTAGTTTCTCCCTCAGGGAAGAATCTCCAGATCTAGAGGAACACCAGCCTTCTGAAGGCCCCCATCAATCAGTTCACTCTCCTTTCTTCACCAAGATTAGTCCTGTCTCTCAGGAAGCCCCCCTTTCCCATAATAAGCCCTTAAGTGGCAGTCCACTTTTTCCTAAATTAGGGAGAGTCCCTTCACCCCCTGTTTCTCCTAAGAGGAATACAATCCCACCACAATTACAAAGCAAAATAGTGAATTCATCAACCCTTCCCCCTATTCCACCATGTTCTTCTGCTGTTTCCCTTAATAGAGAGAACCATGAAGCTGACTCCAAAGGTTTAGCTCCTGAAAAGCCCAAGAGGCTTCATACATACTCATCCACTTCATCCTCTTCTATCTTAAGTTCTGTTTCGGATCCTGCTAGCCAAAGAAACCCTCTGTCTTTTCCAAATGAGTATTCCTTTCCAACTACTCCCTTACATCCTACATGTCGGTCAAAAATAGCTTCATCACAGTTATTAGCTAAGGAGAAGAATTTAATATCTACTACTTCTCCAAGCCTGTCTATCCCCAGTTCTCTCTCTCATCCTAATTTGGGATCCTTCATTCCTCCTGCTCATAATATTAATTCCCATACAGTCCAGCAGATTTCATCCCTGCACCCAAATTATCGAGTTAGTACCTTCCCCGCCAGACCTACAATCCCCCCTGAAGCCACAGTAACACATACTAGATCCCCTGTTTCAAGCCTGGCACCTCCCATATCCCTAACAAGAACCAAGGAGTCGACTTCACCACAACCTCTGTCCCTGCCTTCAGACCCTGAAAATAAGAAAGCCAAGGTATATATAATATATGCATATATATTTTTGCATGCTGCATGCTTATTTTCTAGTTTGGAATGGCCGTTCTTTCAAAAAAACAATAGATTTCTTTACTATTCATGCTGCTCTTAAGAAGGAAATAAAGGAAGGAGATGGGAAAATATTGGAATTCAAGGGTTAATTTTATAATTTAGAACACTAATAGTTAAGTACATTAGTGCATTGCGTTTGTTATGAGAAAGCCTTTGGCAATAGGTTCAAATAATTTTCAAGCAAATCTATAAAATAATCTTTTTTTTTTTTTTTTGAGACTGGTTTCTTATCTCACCCAGGCTTGAAGTATGGTGGTCCTGATCTCACTGCTGGTCAAAAGGAAAGTTTTGACCTGATTCATTTTCAACCTAGGCCAGTTCTCCCCTTCTTAGGCAGCCTATTGGTGACCTCTCACCTGAGGGTTCACCATCTTGGTGCCCAGATTAGTGCACACATTTGACTGTTTTTAGCCTAATTGCAACTCAGAACTCCCAAGCTCAAGCAATCCACTAACCTCAGCCTCCCTAGTAGTAGGGATTAGAAGTATTCCCCACTAAGCATGGCCATGTGTTCTTTTCCAACTTTGATTGGGGGCCTTTTAAAAATGTTTTTTCTCAGATGGTCCATTGACAACCATTGTTACTCTTCCCTATGACCCTGAAGGGGTCCTTTTGGAATGAATTAGGAGTCTACTGGTTACTCTTACAGCAGAGTTAAAAATTAGCTATGGAAAAATTTGGAATATTATTTATAAAGCAGAAGCATTTATCAACCTTATGAGGTTTACAAGTTTTGTGAAATTCATAAAGAAGTCTGATGTGGACAGTAGTACTGAGCAATTAAAAGCACCACATAAATGTTATCAGCAAAAAAGAATAGGGTATTTCCCTCAGACACAATTCTAAGCTGGATAGTTTGCTGAACAAGTATCTTGGAGAGTTTATATTGGCTTTAGCCATTTTTAAGACTAGTTTCATCCCTTTAGTATATAGCCAGCAGGCCTTCAAGGCAGGAAGCTCCTGGGTCAAATTCTATTTCAACCACTTACTAGTTCTGTGAGCCTTAGCAAATCACTTAACCAACTGGGTTTCAGGTCCTCATCTATAAAACGAGAGGATTGGACTAGATGCCTTCTAAACTCCTTTTTAACACTAATTTTGTGATTTTTATGGTACTTCCACCTTCCTCTCCATTTCATGTATCATTAGATAATTTAAGAAGGATCATCTAACTTCTATCATATCAAGAGAGATAATTTTTTTTTTGCTGTATATATCAAATCTCATGGAACTTAAATTAAAAAAAAAAAAAGAAATGAGAGGATAAGATCATTGAATTTGTCCAGAGAAACATTTCTTTATTTGCTTTAGGATAAGGTTTATGGGAGACAATGTAGTATAGGGGAAACATATTGCCTCTTGGGTCAGAGGACTCAGGTTTAAATTCTATCTCTGATGCTTATTCTCTTGGCTAAGCCACTTAATCTTCTTGGAGCTCAGTTTCCTCCTGTTTAAAATGAGGTGTCATACTAGATTGTTGCTGAAATTTCTTCCAGCTCTAGATATATAATGCTAATTGTTTGGGATGAGGGTATGTGGGATTACTTTTTCTTAAGTATTTTGGAGTGATTCCGCAAAGAGCCTACTTTTAAAATTATTCTATAGCAACAATGTTGAAACTTTAAAAATATATCTAGCATAGAGCATCTCTTATATTTTTGTATTAGCAAAATTACATCCTCCTTTCAGATCCATTGTCTTAATGTTCTTATTTGAGTATCATCTCCCCTTCCTCTTTTACCCCCAAATGCACAAATAATTACATAAAGATAGGTCAGCATGGATTTAGTTATACATATACAATGCAGTCTCTGTGAGGGGCAGTTTTAGGGCTAGCCTTGGAGTGAAGAAAACTTGGGTTCAAATACAGCTTCTAATACATGTCAGCTGTATGACTAAGAGCAAATTATTTAACCTCTCAGTACCCCAGGCAACTCTTTCACATTTTAAGTTACAGATTATTATTTAATTTGCATTTGGTGGACAGAATTTATTACAATGATGAAATCTCAAGCCTGGAAAACAAATACAGTGCAATGAAGTGTGTAAGTCTGCAAATAAAGAAACAATAAGAAATGGACTTTTAAAACTCTTTAAATGAAATAGGGAAAATTACTTTTATTTCTGTTGTCTTTCTCAGAAATATCTCTAGTGAGATAAGTAGCATCTATCTAAAACTATCAGCAAGCATTATATGTAATGGGGATAAGCTAGAAGCATTTCCAATAAAATCAGGGGTGAAATAAGGATGTCCATTATCACCACTGTTATTCAGTACTGTACTGGAAATGTTAGTGTTAGCAAAAAGAGAACAAAAGGAAATTGAAGGAATTAGAGTAGTCAATGAAGAAACAAAGCTCTCACTCTTTGCAGATATATGATGTTATACTTAGAGAATCCTAGGGAATCAACTAAAAAAACTACTTGAAATAATTAACAACTTTAGGAAAGTTGCAGGATATAAAATAAACCCAATACATCACTGGCATTTCTATATATTATTAACAAAGCCGAGAAGCAAGAAATAGAAATTCCATTTAAAGTAACTGTAAACAATATAAAATATTTGGGAATCTACTTGCCAAGACAAACCCAGAAACTATATGAACACAATTACAAAACACTTTTCACACAAATAAAGTCAGATTTAAATAATTGGAAAAATATCAATTGCTCATGGGTAGGCCGAGCTAATATAATAAAATGACAATTATACCTAAATTAATTTACTTATTTAGTGCCATACCAATTAAACTACCAAAAATATTTCATAGAGCTAGAAAAAATAATAACAAAATTCATCTGGAAGAAGAAAAGGTCCAGAATATCAAGGGAAACAATGAAAAGAAATGCAAGGGAAGGTGGCCTAGCCACACCAGATCTAAAACTGTATTATAAAGCAGCAATCATCAAAACTACTTGGTACTGGCTAAGAAATAGAGTGGTAGATGAGTGGAACAGGTTAGGTACACAAGACACAATAGACAATGACTATAGTAATCTACTGTTTGATAAACCCAAAGACTGTAGCTTCTAGGATAAGAACTCATTATTTGACAAAAAACTGTTGGGAAAAGTGGAAAATAGTATGGCAGAAACTAAGCATAGACCAACATCTTACACCCTATACCAAGATAAGGTCAAAATGGGTACATGATTTAGACATAAAGGGTGAGACTGTACATAAATTAGGAGAGCAAGGAATAGTTTGCCCATCAGATCTATGGAGAATGGGAGACTTTATGTCCAAACAAGAGATAGACACCATTATGAAATGCAAAATGGACAATTTTAACTACATTAAATTTAAAAAAGTTTTTGCACAAACAAAGCCCATCCAACCAAGGCTAGAAGGGAAGCAGAAAGCTGGGAAACAATATTTGCGATCAGTGTCTCTGATAAGGGCCTCATTTCTAAAATATATAGAGAACTGGGTCAAATTTATAAGAATATGTCATTCCCCAATTGATAAATGGTCAAAAGATATGAACAGGCAGCTTTCAGATGAAGAAATTAAAGCCATCTAGAGTCATATGAAAAAATGCTCTAAATCACTATTGATTAGAGAAATGCAAATTAAAACAGTTCTCAGATGCTATATATAACACCTATCAGATTGGCCAGTGTGACAAAATAGCAAAATTATAAATACTGGAAAAGATGTGTGAAAATTGGAACATTAATGCATTATTGGTGGAGTTGTGAACTGATCCAGTCATTCTGGAGAGCAATATGGAGCTATGCCCAAAGCGCTATAAAACTATGCCTACCCTTTGATCCAACAATACCACTACCAGGTCTGTATCCCAAAGAGATCATAAAAATGGGAAAAGGACTTACATGTACCAAAACATTTATAGCAGGTCTTTTTGTGATAGCAAAGAACTAGAAATTGAGAGAATGCCCATCAGTTGAGGAGTGGTTGAACAATTTATGGTATATGAATATAATGGAATACTATTGTGCTATGAGAAATGATGACCATACAGATTCCAGAAAAACCTGGAAAGACTTATATGAACTGATGCTGAGTGAAATGAGCAAAACCAGGAGAACATTGTACACAGTAACAGCCACATAGTGTGATGACTAGATTTGATAGACTTATCTCTTCTCAGCAATGCAATGATCTAAGACAATTCCAAAAGACTTGTGATGGAAAATGCTATCCACACCCAGAGAAAGAATATGGAGTCTGAATGCAATCAAAGCATACTATTTTTTCTCTCTCCCTTTTTGAAATTTCTTTTCCTTTCTTGTGGTTTTTCTCTTTTTGATTCTGATTCTTATTTAATAACATGACAAATATGGAAATATGTTCAATATGGTTATACATGTATAGCCTAGATTAGATTGCATACCATTTTGAGGAGGGGGAAGGGGAGGGAGGAGGAAAATTTAGAATTCAAAATCTTATAAAAGTAAATATTGAAAACTAAAAGTAAATTAATCAATTGATCTAAAAAATAAAAGCAAAAAAAGACATATCTCTAGTGAATGAGGTGTTTCAGAGCTTATCCAAAATCTAGCTGTATGAATTTATGAACTTATTCAAGAGGCAGCCTAGCAGAATGAATAGGACTGGTCCTAAAGCCAAGAAAATCTGGGTTCAAGTCCTATGTCTGATATACAATAGTAAATCAACTGACTAAGGCAATTCTGTAGCACTATAAGTTAAAATCAGTTTTCTAATTGGCTTCCGTGAAGGTATTTCCTTTTTTATATTGCTATCACTCTTGCTCTTCTCTCAAAGAACTTTCCCTTGTAACAAATATGCATACATACATATATCTATATCTATATCTATATCTACAGTCAAGCAAAATATAGAAAAATATGTGGGCCATATCTGAAAATGTGTTCCTCATTCTATACCAATAGCCTACCACCTTACTGTTCACAGTATGAGGCATGCTTTATCTTCAT